TATTACACTCGATCCTATATAATTCCCATTTTATAGATGAAGACACTGAGGTCAGGCAAGTAGCCCAAGGTCACACAAGCAGGCAGCAGGTAGCCCCAGGATCCGAACCCAGGCAGTCTGGGCTCCTCTGAGCTAATAAGCTGCTTGGCAAGAGAGAAGGCAAGTAGAAACCCGGTAGACCGGCCACGGAGAAGCGAGCATTTTTGGATGGAGAAGTGACACAACACTTTGCTGAACTGGGTTCCTCATACCTGAAAAGATACAGCCTTTAGGAAACTCACTTCCAAGCCAGGCTTCTAAGGTCCTGCCAGTCCTGAAGCCTTAGCAACACCTCTTTAATCTTAACCCCTTGCAGTTTATTCACCTCCTGGTAGCAAGTATTTTCCTTTTGAAACCAAATCGTATCATGCCAGGCCTCCGCTCAAACCCCCAGTGGGTCCCCATATCTCGTGCAGGGTAAAGCCCAAAGTGTGGACGATAGCCTCCCTGTCAATCAGCCTCCTTGCTGTGGCTCCAACACAATGTACACACTCCTGCCCCAGGGCCTTTGCACCCGTTGTTCTCTCTGTCTGGATGTGTTTCTCCCAAATGAATGCTTGGCCCAGTCCCTCATTTCCTTCAGATCCATGTTCAGATGTCCCCTTCTGGTGATACACCACTCCTTCTGGCCCTCCCAACCCCCACCCTGCTTCCCCCCTATCCACCTCCCAGCACTGTTTTACCTTATGACATACCATACATTTTACATATTGATTATGTCTCCTCCACTCTCACTAGAATATGAGCTCCACGAGATTTCTGTTTTGTTCACTGCTGTATTTCCAGCACCCAGCTCAGATCCTGGCACTCAGTAGGCGCTAAGTATTTGTAGAATGAATGAATGAGATTTGGTCTTATCACCACCCCCACCCCCATCTCGACCCACCAAATCTCCCCTCTGTCTACAAGATCCTGATTGCTTGTTAGGCGACTGGTCTACACAGCAAACGAATAAGTCCCTTAACCTCTTCTCCTCCTGGTTAACTTATCTCCAAAATGAGATAGTTACTCCAAATTATCTATAGAGCCCTATCAGCTCTGAAAACCTTCAACCGACCAAAAAAAAAAAAAAAAACAAGGCCTAATTCTTCATTACCACAAGCCTGTACCTACATTTACTTGATTATAAAAACTGCACTTCCTTTAGAATTTTCCAGTTAAGGCCCCACAGCCCCCACACCTCTTAGCATAAGTGAGGTTTGGCAGCCGTTGTGCTACGTGATTTGTAATCTGTACCCCAAGTCAGCACTAACCTCAAGTGCTGGGATCACTGGTCCTGTAAAATTGACCCAGGTTGGGTTACAAGAGAAGTAAACCAAACCACATTCGGTTGTTTCTTAGGATCAGAAACACCACCTCTCCTTGTCCCCCTCAATTTAACACTAATTCCTTAGCAGTCCATGCTGTTGGTTTTGGGGGTTAGCCAGAGGCCCTCTGGAGAAGTCACAAAACTAGGCGTTCTGGGCCAAAAAGGCGCTGGGAAGAAGGCAGACCCGAGTGCAACAACCGAGCGCGCCGCGCCGTGGCACAGCTGGGAGCTGGCGGTGGAGGCCGGTGTCAGAGGGCTGGGGGTCCTTCAAGGTCATTCCCAGCTGGGGCTGCAGAGCCGAGCTCTGACCTCAGGGAGCCCCGGGCCTGTGTTTCTCCATCCAAAACAGGGACTAAATGCATCTAATGCTCGATCGAGCACCAACACGTCTAAACCCCAACTTGGCCCATCTAACCCAAGGCCAGGGTCAAATTCGCAAGCGGCCTCAGGCCGCATTAATGTTCCCTTGCCGTGTCATGTGTAATTCACTCCTCAGACGGAATGCTGGGTCATGATACAATAAGACCGTCTTGGTTTCTCAAAGACACTCTATTGGCTCTAATGATACCATCAATATAAACTCACTTGTTAAGCTCGCTCAAAATCCCTGCCTTCCTGACAAGTCCCTGGCCGGTGGCACAGCCCCTGGCCCCTAACGGGCCCCTCTAACATCTGTTCACTGACCACTTCATCCTAACAAAGGGAAGGGCACTGTGGCTAAGCACACACATCAGGGAAGTCAGACCTGGGTAGGCACCCTGGCTCTACCACTTACTTCCAACTGCGCCGCCCAAGGCCCCTAAACATCTCTCTGACTCAGCTTTCCCATCTGTACAGTGGGACTAATAAATCCACCTCCTTCATAAGGACTGTTTTATAGATTACATACGTTAATAATAAACTAAGTCACTTAGCTCAGAGCCTGACTGACATACAAGTGCCGACTAAATGGCAGTCGTTATTATTGCAGATTTCTTCTTTATGTCTCAAGTCACACACAGCCCTAAGGTTTGGGCTGGCCCTTCCTGGTACATGTTCTGGCACTGTGGTGGTAACATGGGGGGCTCCATCCATCACTGAGTATGTGCAAGCCTAGGCTGGTCAGGCAGGGCAGCAAACAGATGGCACACGTGCCATCCTTCCCCTCCTCTGACCAGGGCAGGCATCTCTAATCTATCCCTGCACTCTTCTCACTCTGATCACAGCCTGCGGCCGGTCAGACTCCATTCAGAACTTCAGGTGGCCACCATCACTAGGGAGGAACCTGCCTGCTATCTTCTGACCCGATGTGGGAGAAATTCGTGCATTAGAAAGTAAGAGCAAGGAACACCCCTGTGTGAAAGTCATGAGGAATAGATGGAGGTCTGCCTCTGTCCACTTCCGTAGGCACCCAAGTGTCTGCTGGATGATGCCTTAACCTCCAATCCATCTGGGCCCATCACCCACAGCACTAGGCCTAACGCAGCAGGTGCTCAATGAGCATGGAGGACGGTGGGAGAGGCTGGCCAGACCCTCCCTCGAGCACAGCAGTGCGGAGTCAAGAGAAGTACCCTGCGCTGGCAGGTTCACAGCCTGACACGGCCACTTATTCACCACATGACCCTGACCAGGGCCGTCCCTCCCCATGTGTCCCATGAGAGGGAGGGACTGGTCAAATCCCAAGGGCCCTTCCAGTCCTGTCATTCCAATCCAGGAAGCACTTTCCCGGCACCCCCAGTCTAGGGACTCCCACTGCCCCACAGACCACAGCCTCATGTGCTGCTCTTAACACAAAACCCCACAACTAAAGGAGCCCAGGACATAGACACAAGGCACCAGGCAGCTGCTGGGCACATGGTCACTGCCAGCATCCACATGCCCAAGGCTGGCCATCCACCCCGCCATCCCAGCCCATGCTCCCAGTCTCTACATCACCCCCACTTCTCCTCCCATCTCATTCGGGTCTCTGTCCCAGTAACACTGAGCACCTGCTAGAGGTTTCTGCTTATGGACCTGGCACCCTAGTGGGAGAGGTAGCATATACAACACAAACACATACAGTAAGTCAAGAGCATGAACAGCCTATGAGGGACATGGGCCACAGGCCCTGAGGCCCAGGAAAGGCATGAAGGAAGATCAGAGAAAGAACATTCCAGGCGAAGGCAACAGCCACTGCAAAGGCTCTCAGGCGACAGTCCGCTGAGGCCAAGGGCCGGCAAACCACGGGTGGCATATGCTGCCTTCTCTTCGGTGCTTTCACGGGCGCTGACAGAGCACAGAGGTTACCAGAGACCCCTGCCCTTCCACCTGCAAAACACTTATTATCTGGCCCTTTATGGCTAAAGCTGGCTGACCCCTGGTTTCGAGTGTTAGACGCACGGAGAGGTGGTCGGGGCAGCTAAGACAGACCATGCAACGGGGATATGGAGACTGGGGCAGAGGGGCACCCAGGCTGTGCTAGGAACTCTGGGTCACAACGACCCCCAGCCTGGCACCTTTGCCTCAAGTCTGTCCCCCTCTAATCCGCCCTGCAAATAGCTGCCCGGGGGACCTTCCCAAAACACAGAGCTAAACATGTTACTCTTTCTCTCGAAGAATGATGGCTCCCCGTGGTTTCCCAAAGCATGTCTTGAAGAACACTCGCCCTGTGGCTGAACTTCCACAAAAGGGTTCCACGGTTAAGCAAGTTTGAGAAACAGAGCATTCTCCTCTTGGATGTCCTCAAACCCCACGTCAGCACCTGAAAAGACTAAAAAGTCCCTCAGTAAAGGGTTCTGTTGACTTTGCTTCACCTACTGTCCTTCAAACTGACCTGGCCACAAATCCCCTTTTTTCCACAAAAATTTATCAACATTGTAAAGAACTAGTGTTGGTGGGCTGAAGGGCAAATTCCTCTGCCTGGCATTTGTGCTCTGACCCCAAACTCCGGGAGGTGATCCTAGGTGTTCCAGATCCTGTGTGTGTGTGTGTGTGTATGTGCGTGCGCGTGTGCAGCCTGGAGAGCCACCTCTGTTCTGTCCCTTGCCGTCCTCCTGCCTCCAGCGCCCCCAGTAAAGGTCATCTGGCCGCTCGGGCTCTGCCCTCCCCGAGGGAACACTGGAAGCAGCGCTCACGATTTCCAAGCGCCGGCCTGTGCCACTGGTGGCAGACGTCCACCGTGGGGCCCGTCCATGGTCCCTTCCCGCCTTCTTTGGTAACCCCAGCCCAGCTCTCCTCTGGGGGCCTCCCCTCAGCTCCAGCCAGCTCCCAGGGCTGTTGGCCTCAGCAGAGTATCCCCTCCCCTTGCTGCGGGGTGGCTGGTTCAGGGAGGGGAGTGCGGGGTGCAGGCCGGGCCAACAGGTGCCAGACCAGGATGGGAGGTCCCCACACCGCAGCGGGACAGGATTCGAGCCCGGGCCTTCCGCCCACTCCTGCATTTCACCTCTAACTTCCTCCTGACCTGAGCACCCAAAGGCCTGTTCAGGTCCATTCACAGGTGCTTGGGGAGGTGTCAGGACGGCTGGAGGGTGCTGCCCATAACCACACATTCGCCAGGGAAGTACAGATATGTCTCGGCCCAGGAGGCTGGCCTGGGCCACCCATCCCCTTTCAGAGAGGTGGCTGCCGGTTGTGAAATGGGGGGGTGTGGGGGGGTGTCCAACAGGAGGGAGGGGTGGAGGGAAAGGGAATGTACCTGCTGGCCGTGCTTTTCCTTCCGGGGGTACTGGCTCCGTCAGCCTGCAAAAGAAACCCAAAACAACTACATGAGCCAAGGGGGGCAAGCCCAGATTCCACCCACTGCCCCCCCAGCCAAGCTCCCCCTCAACACCGGCCTTCACACGGAGGGGAGGGCTGGCACAACCCGGAGCTCCATTCCTCCAGGCTGTGAAAACCTGCCCCCAGTGGTAAGAGAGAGGCAGGACACCCCCACCCTCTCGCCCCCACCCCCCCACCCCTGGAATTTGCTTGGCCCTTTAAATCCAGCTGAGCACCCATTGCCAACACAAACCCAGCAACCACAGGGCCCTGGGGACTCAGTGAAAAGTAAGTAACCAGCTAAATCTGAGATTGAATTGCACCATTTTTATTTTCATCTGGGATTTCCAATAAAACAGTAGCCGCAGATTTATTCCTACCAACCCGAGGGGGAAAATCCTATTATGTTAAAATATTCTGTCCCCCAACCCTACTGGCAGGGAGAGACAAGAGAGTGCTGGTTCTTAATCTCTTTCATTTGGGGTCGGGCGGGGGGATGGGGAGATAAGGCTGACCACATGAAAATTTCAGAAATCATAAAATTCCAGTTCAGATACAGAAACCGATGGCCCCAGGCCAGGAGGGAGCTGCCTAAAGTGTCAGGAGGAGCGAATGACAAACACCTGGGGTGCTGGACCCCCGAGGCCAGTGCTGGGGGGACCTCTGTGCAGAGGCCGAAGGAGGCTGCAGACATGGAAGGAACGCACGGGTCGCACATGCATCCCCTGGCTTTGTCAAAACATTTATAATAACAGTAATCACAGAATCATGCAGGTTCCAAACTCTGGCACACGCCTGTTTCTGAATTCAGAATCCTTCCGAGTTTAGAAAGGTAATGCAATGTATGTGTTCTGTATTTCAAAACAACCCTGGCAAGGGTCTGGGTAGCCCTCCACCCCCTGGACGCAAGCACAGTGATGTTTCCACAGTGAAAACAATGCAGTCAGCCCTGTGGAGGGTAAACGAAGAGAGAACTCAACTCGTCTCTTCCGCCTTCAGGTCAAGTCCTGCCAACTCACCAGTCACCAAAAAAAATCTTTTTGCTTTCAAGTTCTTTGAATTTCAGGATTCAAAGACCTAAAATAAAAACAGCAGCAGCTACCTTTTGATGGTGTTACAAACTGGCAAAAACAGATGGCGGACGTCGATTCAAACAGTCAATATAGAAAAATTACAAGGATTTGACCCAAAGGCGGCCAGATTTCAGCGTGTCAACGCAGCACCCAGTCCCACGTGACCAGAGTCAGTCGGAGCTGTCACACCCAGTTCTCCACAGTCCCCACCACTCCCTCTTGCCTTATACCAAGCCCTCCAGCCTGGCCCCCAGGGGTAACCAGACCCGTTCCCCCAGCTAACTTCCCCCAAGGGGGGGCAGTGCACCCACATCTAATGCTTCTTATTCAATCCTCCCAATGGGTCCCCCAACACACATACACAGTAGCCCCATTTTCACAAGTGCAGCCAATGAGACTCAGAGAATTTAAGTCGTTCGTCCGACATCCCACAAGCTACAAGCCCAGGTCTGGATCACTCCAGTGTCCACCTTCCTCAGCTCTGGAATATTCTCTCCCACCAATATTCAGAAGAGCCAATAGGGAAATGAGGTAAACCCACACGGCCCCCACTGCCCACAGGCCCCCACTGCCCACACGAGGGAAATGCAAAGATGAAGGACAAATAGGGAGGTAGAAATGTGAGGCCTGGGAGGGAAAAATTAATGGGATGCTGGTGTATTATTTCAGTGGCAGAAACAAGAAAGCGGAAAATGGTTTGCATATCATTTCACTGGGAGCAAAGAAACAGGATCAGTTACAGCCTCCTTCCGACATCCTGCATTCCTCAAAACTTCTATGGAAAGTGAATGGGAAGAAGTTGTTTTAATCTTCCTATCGAAAGAGGCAGAAGAGGTAAGGGGTGGAAACTCTGCCCCAGAGAGCTTTAAAAAATCATTAAAATCCCCAATGATCTCTTGTCGGAACAGACTCAACTCTTGGCACGTATTTCTAGCATTTCACACATATTTTCGCGCTGTCTTATTTTTTGGTCCTTTTCCTTCCCAGTCTCACCCAGAGCCAACCACACGTGGACAGTGAACATGTGGCTGGGGGGGAGAAGAGATTCTCTGTCTCCAGTACACCTCATCATCTCCACCTACGTTTTCCCTCTTGTTATGTTTGTGATACTTGCGCTTCTTGCCACCATTGGCAACACTCAAGTTTTGTTTTCCACCAATTTTTATAAAACAAAGACAAAATGCTAAAAATGTTCCAACAGTGGTTCAAACAAATCCTTGCACAGAAACTCAGGCAGAGCAACAGGAGAAATGGAGCCATGCACGGGAGGAGCGCCACCTGGGCAGGTGTGACGGGGACATTTACTGGCGGATGAGGGTGCCAATGTGGGTGGGCATGTCCGCAGACAACACACCAAGCAGAGACGTCCGAGATGGCATGTGTCACTATCACAGGTCCCATTGATGATGGCACTTGGGCCTGGCCAAGTCCAGACCTACCATAACGAAAGGACACAGCCTCCCAGGCCCTTGCAGCCCAGAAGGGAACTCACGGTGCTAAGGATTCGTGAGATGTCGGGCCAGCTCTGTGTCCTCGCAACCTCCTACTGCTTGAATTAAGCTGAACCTCTGACATGGCCTATTTTCCAAATGGTCTAATACCAGCAATTTCCTATGATTCAACCTAAACCACAAGCTCACCTTTACCAGGTGTAATCTGGCCTGATTCTCGATCTGAACCTTAGTTCACGGGGTAGCGTCAGATAGATGGTCCTGCGCCCGGACCCCTGGCTCTGCCATTTCCTAGCTATGGGATCCTGGACAAGCCACCCGGACTCTCAAGGCCTCGGCTTTCCCATGTGCAAAATGGCAATGTGCCAACCCCAGGACCTATCTCCCGGGACCGGCGAGGTAACACAGTTACGAGTACCTAGCACGGGCTAAGTACCGAGTGCACAGCAGATGAGCGAGAGGCAGGGCCGACCTGCACCCACCCTAGGCGTGTCCCCAGCCTGTCTCGGGGTAAGATCTGAATCCTGTGCTGCAGGTCGGCATCTCATGAGTGTCCACCAGACCGACAGCTCTGAGGCTTCTTCCAAAGGGCCAGTCAAAACGACATCACATGCAGTGACATAGCTAAAGCACTAAGTGCAGGCCAGGGGTGCAGAGGAACCCTTCAGCAACGGAAACTCTGGCTGCCACTGGACCGCGTGCTCCTACAGGTGCCGCTTCGGTCTGGCTCTGTCCGGGTCTCACCCTGGGCAGGCTGCTTCCTTTCCCTGGGCCTCAGGTTCTCACTGCTGAAAACAGGACAGGAGGCACGAGAGAGTTGAATCAGGTCATCTCTTGCTGCCCTTCATCTCTGTGACTCTCTATGGAGTTGACCTAACCTTAACCACCCGCCCACCCCCTCCCCCCACCCCCCATCCCTGTGCAAGTGAACCAGGGCGGACACAGTGGGCCCAGGACAGACCCTCTCCTCAGGCCCAGGAGGCTGGGGGAGGGGTAACAGGCCTGCACCGCCTCACCCCCACCCCCACCCCCACTCCTCAGGAAGCGCACCTGCCCCCACACCCCTTCACCAGCCCTATGCATTCCTTATACACCCGTTTCTCCTTAGGACCCAGGCAAAGCTATGTTTGGTTTCCTTCGACCCTCCTCTTCCCTCCCAAATGAATGTTAAGTTGTTCTTTTCCATTCTCTTATTAAGGATTTTCTTGGAAAGAAAATATTATTCCAAACCCAGAAATTTTATTTCTGAAATTGTGCAAATGTAAGTTGTAGGACATTAGCTGCATTTCACATTTTGTGCAAATGGCAGAAACAGGCAATTCGTGTGCTACGGGATGGGGGCTGGCCAACGATTTCGATAAAATAAACCCTTTTTTAATTTAAATGCTAATGCACTGAATTAAAATTTAATAACTGAGGAAATTGAAAAGCCGAGCAGGAATATTGGAAATAAATCCAAGCAGAAACAGCTGAAATTAAAAATTCTAGAGAGTAGGAGGATAGCAGCTAAGCTGTCTTATATGATTACATTTTTTTTTTTCAGAATGAAGCAAAAAAAAAAAAAAAATCCTATCTCTCGCTGGCTCTAGGGCAGTAAATCCACAGTGCTGTGATTTATTGCTCAATTTTCCTGAGGGAAAAAGGCTTTCTTTCATGCTGAAATATTTCATAAATTTCAAGCCAGCATAAATTCTTAATTTAAAAGTTATGGAGGTCACATTTAGTGCACTGGTACGGTTCCAAAATCTTAAAGGAATAGCAGCGACCAAAAAGGAAAAAAAAAAAAAAAAAAGGGAAAAAAGGAAAAAAGGAGGGGTAGAATTTGCTCCTTTTTTTTTTTTCCTTTTTTTCATTTTGGTTTTAATTCACGAGTTAAAATTTCATTATTAAAGATTCCTCCTGGATGGATGGAACCCAAGCACATGGGGGAACTGGTATGTGTTTGGAAATCTGCCGCAAAAGATGAAAAGATAAAGATTTAATTTAATTATAAAAAGGCTTTTTTTTTTTTTTTTTTTTAAGCCACTTGAGGAATTTCTGGTAAAAATTTCCTCCCTTCACTGCCCGGGAAGGGGTGAGGGTGGGGGCGGGTGGCCAACGTAATTGCTTCTCTTAGATCTCCAATCTTTTGTGCACACTGATATATTCATTTGTTATACAGCTGTTCAGCGGCGGAAAGAATGCTGGGGCGCCCATAATTCTAAGCAAATCAATCAAAAATTAATGATTTGTCATGCTTGCACAATGGAGGAAAACAGCTCCTTGGGTCCTGGCTGCCTGATCTCGAAGAATGAAATGCCTTTCTGCGATAAGAGAACCGAGCCGGAGGCTGAGGGGGGCTGAGGTGCCCCTGCGAGGTGGGTGCTCAGGGTGCCCGAGCCCTGAGCGGATGGAGGAGCGCCGCCATCTTGGACACGGCGTCTCCCCAAGATGGTGCCTCGGCCCGGCAAGCCCAGGA